GAGTAGCGTCTGGGGTCTTAAAAGCCTGTGAGCAGCCATCTAAGATACTCCACTGGTCTCATCCCTTCGGGAGCAAGGGAGAATGAAGAGAACAGGTTACAAGGAAAAGATTTAGTCCAAAGGACTAATGGACCACAGCTACCAAGGCCTCCACCAGACTGGGTCCAGTACAGGTAGATGGTGCCCGGCTACCACCACTGACTGTTCTGACTGGGACCACAACAGAGGGTTCTGGACAGAGCTGGAGAAGGATGTAGAACACAATTCTAACACACACAAAAAAGATCAGATTTATTGGCCTGACAGAGACTGGAGGAACCCTGAGAATATGGCCCCCAGACACCCTTTTAGCTCAGTGGTGAAGTCACTTCCGAGGTTCACCGTTCAGCCGGGGACTGGACGGCCCCATAAGACAAAACGGGACTAATGAGGCACAGCAGTCCAGGGACAAGGGCTAGAAGGCAGAAGGGGACAGGAAAGCTGGTGAAAGGGAACTCAAGGTTGAGTAAGGACTGTGTTTATGTGTTGTGAGGTTGTTAACCATTGTCATAGGGCAACGTGTACTGTTTAATGAGAAACTATTTTGTTCTGTAAACCTTCATCTAAAGTGAGAATAGCAGCAGAATTGGAAGAGCATAGTTGATGTCACTGAACTGTGCATGCAGAAATTTTTGAAACAGTGTGTCTTTGGCTATGTATATTTTCACCAAACAAACAAACAAAAAAGGTCGAGAAGGGAGAGGGTTGACATGTCGTGGGGTTGTTAACCAATGCCATAAAACAATATGTGTACTACTGTTTAATGAGAAACTATTTGTTCTGTAAACCTTCACCTGAAGTACAATTTTAAAAAATTTAAAAAAAGAAGTAAACATACCCAAGAGACAAAAGGGCCACATAAACCAGAGACTTCATCAGCCTGAGGCCTGAAGAACTAGATGGTGCCTGGCTACTTCAAATGACTGCCCTAACAGGGAACACAACAGAAAGTCCCTGACAGAGCAGGAGAAAAGTGGCATGCAGAACTCAAATTCTAGTAAAAAGACCAGACTTAATGGTCTGACTGAGACTGGAAGGACCCCGGAAGACATTGCCCTTGGACTCTCTGTTAACCCAGAACTGAGACCATTCCCGAAGCCAACTTTGCAGACAAAGATTAGACTGGACTATGGGATATAAAATGATACTCGTGAAGAGTGTGCTTCTTAGCTCAAGCAGATACATGAGTCTAAATGGGCAGCTCCTGTCCAGAGGCGATACAAGAAGGCAGAAAGGGATAGGAGCTGGTTGAATGGACACAGGAAATCTGGGGTGGAAAGGAGGAGTGTGCTGTCACAGTATGGGGAGAACAACTAGGGTCACAGAGCAGTGTGTGTATAAATTTTTGTATGAGAAACTAACTTGAACTGTAAACTTTCACTTAAAGCACCATAAAAAAAATTTAAAAAAGAAGTAAACATACAGGAAACCAGATTTACTGGATCCACTGAGACTGGGGAACCCTCGAGTCTATTGCCCAGAAATAATCTTTAAACCTTGAACTGAAACTATCCCATGAAGTCATTATTAAACTAAACAACAGTTTAGCCCAATTAATAAGGAATGATTGCCTCAAGCATAGCACTCTTATAAAGAACTATCTGTGTAAGTGTAAACTGACAACACTTAATCTAAAGCACAGATGAGAACTTAAGGGGCAGAGAGCCTAAACTGATGAGGAAACAGTACGGGTAGCGACAGAATGGTGACACAATGTGAAGTATCTAACCAATGTTACTGAGCTGCTCCTGTAGAAACTGTGAACGGCTGTATGTTTGGCTGTGTATACTAAAAAGAAGTGAACCTATACTAAAATAAGAGATGTGTGCAACAACATCATGCATTTGTCTGTTTTTGTTAATGATTTAGAAAACCCTTAATTCAAATCATAATTTTATACCATTCTTAAATTAACTTATAATACTGTTTATATTCTAAGTTGAAAACATAATCAAATAATCTTAACTGAAGAGTCAAAGGCAGTTAAATGCTGAATTCTCCTGGTTTTTAATTTGTAAACTGATTATTCATAAAAATTTCATTGTTTCACATATTTAACATTGCATATCTCTCACAATGTTTAAATCATTGAAATAATAGCACAGTAAATAAATCATTAGTTTTCGGTCTGAGCATGCAAAGTGTGGACAAATGGATTTTTGCAATACATAGAATTAAGACAGTGGACACTGTCTCTTTCACCAGGAACAAATGCAGGTCTTTGTGTGATAAAACTTAAGAACATTATATGCCCATCTATAGCTATACTTACTATTATTAAACATTTAAGCGGTGGGCTTATACTGTACTGATATCATTTTATTTGCCTCATGAAAGATTTTACTTTTAAATTTCTCCTATTTCAATGTAATTTTTAAAATAGACTTTATTTTTTAGAACAATTTTAGATTTACAGAAAACACAGTACATAGAGTTCACATACACCCCACACTCCGTTTCCTCTATGATTAACATCTTACATGGTACATTTGTTACAGTTAACGTACCAATACTGATATTAATTAAACCAAAGTCAAGCCAGTTACTGTCAAGCTGATTCCAACTCATGGGGACCCCATGTGTTTTAGAGTAGAACTGTGCTCTACAGGGTTTTTAATGGTGGATTTTCAGAAGTAGACTGCCAGGCCTTTCTTCCAAGGCATCTCTGGATGGACTTGAACTGCCAATCTTCTACTTAGTAGCGGAGTGCTTAACCGTTTGTACCACCCAGGAACCCCATGATTAACTAAAGTCCACAGTTATTCAGATTTCTTTAGATTTTACCTAATGTCTTTTTCTGTTTCAGGATCTCATTCAGGACACCAAAATTACATCTACTTGTCATATCTCTTTAAACTCCTCTTGGCTGTGAAAGTTCCTCAGACTTTCTTTGCTTTTGATGAAGTAGACAGTTTGAGGAGTACTAGTGAAGTGCTTTATAAGAATTTTGTAGTGCAATTTGTCTGATGTTTTTCTCATGATTAGACTGGGGTTATGGGTTTTGAGGAGGAAGACCAGTCACGGTAATTTTCTTAAGTGGATTAGATACCTACAGGTTAAAAAAATCTAGACTTCATCAAATTGTTGCCATTAATATAACTTATGTATCATTTTTAGTACTAGGTCTGAATCTGATTATCAGAGACAGAAAAGATAGTCTTGAGGAATGGAACATGAGGATTTTAAGGTTGGCTTTTAAAAATAAAGCAGTGGATAATATTATAAAGACAAAAAATAGTTATTTTAATTCACTTTCCTAAGCATGTTCTTATAAATTAAAATTACTATGACATAAAATCAGACAAAATGCACAAATACAGTGAAACCTGTGAGAGCTGGAAATCGACAGGATTGCCTTGTTTTTTCCTTGAGTTTTTTTCTCTGACAGGTTTCTGCCTTACACAGGTTCTGGCTTTCACAGGTTTTACTGAAATACATAGCTAGTTCAACTCCATACATCTTCAGAGGAAAATCTGGGATTTATGTAAATAAATACATTACTCAAGTATATCTCTGTTTTCAAAGCACATTGTCACTTTTTTTGCCTACCAAATAAACAATAAATAAACATTGTGCTGGATTCTCTACCCTTTGGGTCAAAAATAGCCAGTCTTAAATCCCTAGAAAAGTTACACTAGGCTATAATTAGGTAAAATGTTCTCTCCTTTTTAAGCAGTGGTTCTCAAACTTTAGTGTGCATCAGAATCACCTGAAGGGCGTGTTCAAACATAGGCTGCTGCTTTTACCTAAAACACAATAATAATAATAAGCACATAGAAAAGAAAAGAAAAGAAAAGAAAAAGCTAGCCACAGATTGCGAAAATACTAGTAATAATGTATATATGACAAAAACTTTTATCCAGAATAATAAAAAGACAATCCAATTAAAATGGACAAAAACTTGAACACTTTATGAAAGAAGGTATATAAATGGCTAATAAGCACTTGAAAAGTTACTCAACATATTAGTCATTAGAGAAATGCAAAGGGAAATGACCATAATATACCACTTCATAGCCACTAGGAAAAAAAAAAAAACAAATACAAGCTGCTGGGTCCTAACCCCAGGAGTTTCTGATTCAGTAGGTTTCTGTGGGGCCTGAGAATTTCCATTTCTAGTAAGTTGCTAGGTGATACTGATGCTCCTGGTCTAAGGACCAACTATGAAAACCACTGCTTTACAGTCAACAAGAAAGCTACATTATCAAGGGCATACAATGATTAAGGAGCCCTGGTGGCGCAACAGGTAAGAGTTCGGCTGCTAACCAAAAGGTCAGCAGTTTGAATCCACCAGCCACACCTTGGAAATCCTAGGGTGTGGTTCTACTCTGTCCTATAGGATCACTATGAGTCAGAATCGACTCACAGCAATGTTTTTTTTTCTTTTTTTTAAAATGGTGATTAAGGTGTTTTACATACATTACCTTATTTATTAACTAGTATAGAATCCTACCAAGTAAGTATGGTTACTCCTTTTTAAATAAGGAATCTGGGTCTCACCGGGACTGAGGAACTCACCTGAGGAGACGATGGGATTAGGTAGCAAAACTACAATTCAGAGCACCTTCTGATTTCAACACCCATGTTTTTCTAGCACACCATACTGCTTCTTATTGATAAAAGTGTGGCACTTATGCCTCCCTGGCATGCTTATCTGAAAAGAGAGACTACCTAAAGATGTGGACAGTGCTTACTTCAGGTTAGCAGAGTGTTAACGGAAAGACAGTGATTCTTACAAAAAACTGGGCAAAGGTACAGGGTCGTGGAGAACACTCACTTCTCTCTGAATTTCTGAAATAACCAAAGGTGAAATGGATTTACTGTATAACTAACAAAAAAGGATGAACATGTGTTTAATATACTTATTATCTCTTAATTACTATTTTATTATTCATTACAGAAAAACACACATTTAAGTAAAATAGTCCATAAAAGAATACTCTCATTTAAATTTAAGCTTAAAGCTCCATCATACTGTTCTGTGTGCCAGTGTACACTACATCGCTAATCAATTAGTACCTACTCTGGTACTGAAGTAACACCGCATGATGGTCTTCAACACAATGCTCTGACAATTCCTAGAACACATTATTTCCTTTCACACAGCAAATTAAAACAATGACATTATACAAATAAAATAGGCAATTTAAATTTTAAGAAAAGTGGTAGATTTTACAGTAAATAGATTGCCAAAAAATGAAGTTGCTAATAATTTAATTTCTGTCACTCTTTGTTATATTGTATATAAAACAGGACACAGAGACACAAGATTACTGGACTATAGATTTAACACAGTTGTGAGGTCTAAGCTTCAGAGAGACAAAAAAAAAAAAAAACCCCTCAACTCTACATCTCTAAGAAAGATTCCCTTTCAAACCTCTCTCTCTATATTTCCATTTAATACTGTTAATTAAACCTATAATGTTAAATTTATTTAAATAAGAATTAAATAAACTGCCCTAAATGCTGATTTTTATATCACAAAACACAAGTATTTTAAATCACAAATTTCTTGTGGTATACTGAATGCACTGGTTCATTAGACAACATTAACAAGCATATTTTTAAGAATATATTTTCATCTATAGCTCAGGTAAAGCTTTATTAAATGGTAAACACTTTAAATAGTGCAGAAATACAAGTTTCAAAAAACAAATACACTCAGAAGATCTGCTGTTCAAATAGTATTTTTTCAAAACCAGGTGGAGGAGTATGATAAAATTCACTGAACTGGCAATCCAAAATTGCACTGTCATCAACTAGAAAATAGAAAAAAGAAAGAAATTAGAAGTAAAGAACTTAATGTGAATGAATACATAATTATAAAATAAACTGTTTCCCTAATACCGTAATACTAACAAGCAAAAACAATAAACACATCTGTTTTCAGGATACAAAACAATCCTATTACATAAAATAGCTGCAACAAAAAACAATCTATCACAAATACTAGAAGAATATACATCAAAATATTATTGTTATTATTTTGGTGGAAAGGAATTTTATTAGGAAGACTTACAAACGATGTGGTCCCTGGCGGCCAAAGGACCAGAGCATATCTCCGCAACCAGCAATGGAGGGTAGGGGGTGGGGTGGAGGTTTTATAGTGGTCAAGGACAAAAGTAGCTATAAGCCAGGGAGTTACATAAGACTGCCTCAGTAAGGTCACATAACCGGGGCTTCGAAAACAGCAGTGAACTAACAGAAACAGCAGTGAACTAACAGCATGAGGGCAGCCATGTTTGACCTTGCAAAGCCTGTTTTTCCCTTCACTGAATAATAGTTCATTCTGTTGATAGTGCCACATTTTATGTATCTACTCATCAGTTGATGGACATTTGGGTCGTTTTCACTTTTGGTCTATTATCAAGAATGCGGCTAGGAACATTTGTATGTAAGTTTTTGTGTGGACATACGTTTTCACTTCTCTTGGGTATATATCTAGAAGTGGAATTGCTGGGCTGCATGGTAACCATATGTTTAATCATTTGAGGAAATGCCAGACTGTTTTCCAAAGTGGCTGCACCTTTTTTTTGTTGTGATAAAATTCACCATTTAAACTGCTATAAAGTGTGCAATTCAGTGGCATTTAGTACATTCACACTGTTGTGCCACCATCACCTTTATTTAGTTGTAGAACATTTCCATCACCCCAAGAGGAAACTTTGTACCCTTTAAGCAGTCACTCCCCACTCCCTTTCTCCCTCCCCTGGCAACCACTAATATGCTTTCTGTCTGCATGGATTTGCCCATTCTGGATATTTCATATAAATGGAATCATGCAATATGTGGCCTTTTATGTCTGGCTTCTTTCACTTCTACTCTGACACACACAGAGTTGCCATGAGTCAGAACTGAGTTGACTGCAACTGATTTTTCTTTTAGTTAGCATACTGTTTTCAAGGTTTATCTGTGTTGTAGCATGTATCATAACTTGATTTCTTTCTACGGCTGAATAATATTCCATTGCATGCATAGACCACATTTTGTCTATCCATTCATCTCTTGGAGCCCTGGTGGCACAATGGTTAGGCGCGCTTGGTCACTAACCAAAAGACTGGCAGTTTGAATACACCAGCTGCTCCTTGGAAACTCTATGGGGCAGTTCTCTGTCCTATAGGGTGGCTATGAGTCAGAATCGACCTGAAGGCAATGACAGGTTTGTTTTTGGTTATTCATCTCTTGGTGGGCATCTGGATTGTTTCCACCTTTTGGCTATTACGAATAGTGCTGCTATGAGCATTTGTATACAAGTTCTTGTTTGAACACTTCTTTTTAATTCTTTTGGGTATATATCCAGGAATGGAATTGCTGGGTCATATGGTATTTCTATGTTTAGCTTTCTGAGGAACCATCAAACTTTCACATAGCTGTGTACCATTTTATATTCCCGTCCACAATTTCTGAGGGTTCCAATTTCTCCACATCCTTGCTTACAACATTTGTTATTTTACACTTTTAAAAATTATTATTATAAGCCTCCTAGTGGGTGTGAAGTGGTATCTCATTGTGGTTTTGATTTGCATTTCTAATGACTAATGAGGTTTAGCATCTTTTCATGTGCTTGTTACCCATTGCCATCTAGTCGATTCTGACTCGTAGTGACCCTAAAGGACAGAGTAAAACTGCCCCACAGGGTTTCCAAGGAGCGCCTGATGGATTTGAACCACCAATCTTTTGGTTAGCAGCCATAGCTCTTAACTACTACGCCACCAGTGTTTCCATGTGCTTGTTAGCCATTTGTATATCTTCTTTGGAAAAATGCCTATTCAAGGTCTTTGCTCATTTTTTAATGGATTGTTGGCCTTTTCATTGTTAAGTTGTGGAAGTTCTTTATATATTCCAGATACAAGTCCTTTATCAAATATATGACATATATATTTTCTCCCATTGTGTGGGTTGTCTTTTCACTCTCTGATAGTGTCCTTTGATGAGCAAAGGCTTTTAATCTTTTGCTGACCTGCCTCCCTGCTGTCCACTTCCCACTTCTGAAAATTAGTCACACCTGGTCCCCTTTGTTCTGAGGCAGCCATATCTGGGCACCCCTAGTCACAGGCTCCCCCCTGTGCATAGGAAGCTGCAGAGGAGGGGTCAGGCTGGGGCAGGAAGGGAAGAAGCAGATCCTGTGTTCCTGAAAAATGCAGAGTGGAAACGCCAGGACAGAACCCAAGGCTCCTACCTCCCTGCCAGGTTTTCCGCCATTTCATGTCCAAAGACCCATTGCTGTTGAGTCAATTTTGACTCATAGTGACCCTACGGGACAGAGCAGAACTCCTCCATAGGGTTTCCAAGGCTATCATCTTTACAGAAGCAGACTGCCACATCGTTCTCCCGCGGAGTGGCTGGTGGGTTTGAACTGCCAACCTTTTGGTCAGCAGCCAAGCGGCCAACCATTGCACCACCAGGCTCCTTCAACTTCACCTATGCTTCTCTTTTTAGGCACAAATTCCTAGTCAAAAGGACAAATCTTGACTTTGGGAATATCAAAAAGGCTGGTGTCCTCACTTCCCAAGGCCCTTCCTCTTTTTGACTTTCCTTATCTAACCAGCTGTCCCTTTTCCTGCCCCACCTGAGTCTGCCCACCTGTTCTAGTCCATCTACCTGCCCTGTAGGCATTCAAGAACTTGATTGAGGCATTCAATGGGGGAGAAAAGGCAAGACGATGAGCGTGCCTTTTAAAGGTGTTCATTCACCATTCTGACGTTTGACAAATGTCGTCAGGGTAGAAGTGGATCGACTTCCAGTGCCGTTTGGTAGGAGCAGCTTCCTTCTGAGTGTGCATCTGCACGAAGGTGCCTCCCAGGTGTGGGTCTCCGTCCATGTCCAAATCTTGTACATGGATTAAACGTGGACTTGTTGTTAGTTGTTGTCATTGTGACTCCACATGTGCAGAGAACTGCTCCACAGGGTTTTCCAGGCTGTGATCTTTCAGAAGCAGATCTGTCTTCCCAGGCGCTTCTGGGTACATTCAAACTGCTAACCTTTCGACTAATAGTTCAGCGCTTAACCATTTGTAGCACCCAGAGACTCCAAGGATATAAATTGATTGTTCCCAGTTCTGGAGGCTAGAAGTCAGAAATCAGGGTGTCAGCCTTGTTGATTCCTTCTGAGGCTCTGAGGGAGAATCTGTTTCAGTCTGGTAACAGGTGGTGATCCTTGGCATTTCTTGGCTTGTGGATCACTCCAGTCTCTGCCTCTGTCATCTTATGGCCGTTTTCCCTCTGTGTGTGTGTCTCTGTCTCTTCTCTTTCATAAGGGCACCAGCCATATTGGATAAGGACCCACCCTTACATCAAAATATTAATAATTATCCTTAGATAGTGTGTGTCAAAGATAAAAGTTAATAACAGGTATCTTACTTTGATTTTGGGGTTTTCTTACCCACAAAACCAAATAGGCACTGAAAAGAAATTCCTGACCAAAATTAATCCTGCTACTGGCTTTTCCTTCATCCAAAGTTGCTAATCTTTTCTTTCCTTCTGGAAGCCAGACTTACTAACTTTGAATTTCAAAAGTTATGGCTGGGTAAAAGGCCAGAGACCATTTTGTGACCTGATATCAATTGATCTTAGTAAATGGGGGAGGGCAGGGTTCAATCAATCATGTTAAGATTAGCCAATGGTTAATCTTCTAAATTTCTCTTCTCTTTATAAGCCTCATTGTACCTAGTTTCTTCCAGCTGTTTCCTTTTTCTGGAATCAGAATGGTCTTCCTATATGCATACAGAATAACTGCTGAGAATAAACCTTACATTCCAATTTGAGTTTTGATTAATTATAACATGTGACTATGGGTAATTTAAATTTTCTTCTTACTTCCCTATCCGTATTTTCTATAATTAAGATGTATTACTTTCAAAAATGTTTTATTTTGAAAAAATTACAGATTCACAGGAAGTTGCAAAAATAGTAGAGTCTCGTGTATCGTTCATCCAGCTTCCCCCAATGGTAACATCTTCCATAGCTATTGTATAACAAAACCAAGAAACTGCCATTGGTACAATCTGTTATACAAACCACAGGCTTTATTCAGACTTCACCAGCTTTTATGTACTCTCATTTGCGTGTATGTGTATGTTTCAGGCAATTTCATCCCCTATATAGATTTGTATAGCCACCAGCCCAATCAAGACACAGAACTACTCTATTCCCACCAAGAAAATCCTTTATAGTGGTACCTACCCTACCTTCCCCATCTGTCCCTATCCTCTGGCAACCTCTAATTTGTTCCCCATCTCTATAATTCTGTTATTTTGAGAATGTTATATAAACGGAAGCAAACAGTATGTAACCTTTTGAGACTAGCTTTTTTCCCTCAGCATAATGCCCTTGAGAGCTAGTCAAGACTTTTTATTGCTGAGTAATATTCTATGGAATGTTGTTTAATCATTTGCCCATTGGAGGACATTTGAGTTATTTCTAGTTTTGGGCTATTACAATAAATCTGCTATGAACGATCATGTACAGGTTTATATTTTCAAGCCTCTGGGATAAATGCCCAAGAGTGTGATTGTTGGGTCATATAGTATGTTTAATTGGATTAAGTGATTTTTTTCCACTGGTGAGGTTTAAGGGTTCCTTATAATTCTAGATATAAGTCCTTTGTTAAATGTGTAATTTGCAAATTATTTTCTTCCAGTCTGTAGCCTGTTCATCCTGTTAACAGGGTCTTTCATAGAGCAAGTTTTTACTTTTAGTAAGTCCAACTTATTAATTTTTTCTTTTATGGATTGTGCTTTTGGTGTTATGTCTAAGAACTC